ACATGAACCAAGCTCATTAAAGAGACTGTTTGATGCTACAACTGATAATGGTCAAGTAAATCAAGCTCATTAAAAAGACCGTTTAATTCTACTTCTAGTAATGGTCAAGTCAAGACAAGCAAAGAGTTTATAAAAAAAGAAGATGAACCTAGACATAGCAAGAGGATAAATACTTCAATATCATTTGCTTGTGATTTTATTACTTACTTATTAGAGAATGATCCTCAGGGTTTCAAGGAAGGTATGTCCTCCCCCGAAGCTCCTTATTAGAAGGAAACTATTGATATTGAAATTTAATCCATTATGAGAAATCATATATAGAAGTTGGTGGATGTTCCCTCGGTTAACAAACCTTTAGGCTGTAAATGATCTTTAAAAAAACATAAAAGTCAATGGATCAATTGACAAGTATAAAACTAGACTTGTAGCAAAATGATACAAGCAAAGGGAATAATTGAATTATTTTGATACTTATTCACCAGTTACTAAAATGACATCCATGATAATGTCAATTGTTATAGCTATTTTGAGTAGTGTTGAGATTAATCAAATTGATGTAAAGACAAAATTCTTAAATGGTGAATTAGATAAAGAAATATACATACAACAACCTGAAGGGTTCATAGTTCATAGACAAGAAAAAAAAAGTATGTAAACTTTTTAAATCTCTTTATGGTTTAAAACAAACACCACAGTAGTAGCACTTGAAATTTGGCAAGACAATGTTGTTAAATGGGTTTAAAATAAATGAGTGTGACAAATGTGTATATATCAAAAGCACTCAAAGTGGATACATTATTGTATATCTTTATGTAGACGATATGTTAATTATTGGCATTAATAATGATGTCATTAAAGCTACCAAATGGATGTTAACCAATAGATTTGAAATCAAAGACCTAGGTGTTGCTGACATTATACTAGGAAATAAAATTTCTAGAACGTCAGATGAACTCACATTTTATCAATCTCACTATTGATAAAGTACTTGATAAATTCATAAAGTATGAGACAAAATCTAAAACAACACCTGTCAATGTTAATATCCATCTTTCTAAAAATAATGGTGAAGGCACGAATTGTATCCATCTGGATATAGCATACTTTGTGAGTAAACTAAATCAATATACAAGTAACCCTGGAATAGAACACTGGAAAACAATAATTAAGGTCTTGAGATATTTAAAATATACCCAAAACTATGGTTTGCACTTTACAAAATATACAGTCATACTCGAAGGATATATTGATGCTAACTGAATATCTAATACTAAAAATCTAAAATTCGCAAGCAGACATATCTTTTCTTGAAAAGTGTAGTTGTGTCTTGAAAATCCTAAAAGCAATTAAGTATTGATATATATATATACAACGATATCTGAGTTCATTACCTTAGATAACGCTAGAGAAGAAGTAGAATGACTTCATAACTTTTTTACGGATATTCCAAATTAACCAAAGCTTATGCCAGTCTAACAATAAACCAAACTTTCAGGTAAACTTTTATAATCTATGCAAATTAATATCCACTTTTTATTTCCAATTGTGTATTAATTATATTCTTTGTACATAGGCAAAATCTTAAAAAAATGCAAAAAGTCGTGCCAAACTACCATACAACCACTCGATGGGTTCAAAGTCCTTTCAGTCTGCCCTATATGAAAGGGTGTTATACTTTAACATTTGCTTCCTCAATTTTAATATATAGGAACTTCATAAAATTGAATATTGATATTTTGATTAACTTTAACAGAGGGACGCTACGACTGATGAGCCACCCCCACATTGTTGATTTTTTTCACGATTCTCGTGTGAACAAGAAGGGTGAGTGGATTTCTGCTAAGGCAGAGTCAATATATGTAAGTATTTCAAATTGTATAAAATTATGTTTTTTTTAAAATAATTTTTTATGATACACTCAATAATTGGGTTTAAATATATTAAATTATAGGAGCGGATGAAAGAATTGGTCACACAGAACTTAGAAGAGGGTGTAGAGCCATTGACACAGGATGAAATTGCATGCACAGTCCTTGGCAGCCGACCTAGATATAATAAAGGATTTGGACATGGCCCGAAGCCTTCATACTCTAGTCAGTCATTCAGATCCACTGTTGAGTACCGAGAACAAGTTGATATGATAAAAGAGTTGCAAGCAATTGTTGATTCTCTTCAGAAGGGACGTGATGAAACAAAAGAGAAGCTAGAGAAGTTTGAAGACGTGCAGCAGAAGTTTGAAGATGCATAGCAACAGATGATGTAACAACTTTTGCAGATGTAACTTCAAATGCAACTCGCTCTGTAAGGCAACTTAACTAATGCAGACATGTCACCTAAGTCTTAGTTAGTATCTTTTTACTATCATTTTAAGTTCAACACTTAAGAAGTATAAAAACTAAAACTTGAAGCTAAGTTGGCCAATCAGCTCGTTTCTACTCCATTTGCCGTGAAAGCGAATGGAGAGAAACTATTTAGGCATAGAAACTCTTAAGAAAATATGGTTTCTCATTATGAGACCCGACTTGAGAGTTTGACAAAAAACTAGAAAATTCAATACTTAAGAATTAGAAAACCTAAAACTTGGAGTTAAGGGTGTCAATCGGCCCGTTTCAACTATGTTCACCTTGAAAATGGATGGAGAAGAACTATTTGGATATATAAATTTGTATGAGAAGATATCTCATTTTGGGATGGGTTGAGAGTTTAAGAAAAAACTAAAAATTTTGACACTTAAGATTTAGAAAACCTGTATGTTTTTGAAAAATTTGATAGATAATTTATTAATGTATTTTTTTTCTTTTTTTTAATAGGTGAATTCTAGACTTCTGTATTAAAGTGGCTGACAAATTATCTTTTGGTTATGTATTTAAATATTGTATGATTCCATCTTGTTTTGATGTGTGATTGTTGTTTTAATATGTGATTTGAGGGGTTTGCCTTTTAAGTGATTTTTTATGATAAGGGTTAATTGTTTGGCTATATGGTGTAACTGTTGATTTGTTTGAAATATGGTAGAAGGAAAGGCATTGGCAAGCTGTTAGTTTGGATTTTGAAAGTGCTTTGCTTAGCTGGTTGCTGTTTTAGGCTGGTCTGGAGGAAGTTTTTTGGTGGAGCTGTTGATTTGGTTTTGGTTATTTTGTATCACGTGACTATACAATTGGTTTATTGGCCTCTGCTAGGATAATCTTTCCTAGTTATTTTGTAGATGACAAACTTTCTTATTTCTCAGGTATTCGTTGAGTGCTATACTGGATGTACTGCTGTCCAATAAGCTGGCTGCAATAAATTTTTGTAAGAGTAAGGGTGCGTTTAATAACGTTTTCGTTTTTTTGTTTTTTTGGTGATAAAAATTAAAAATATAAAACATATTTGGTAGTCATTATATTTAAAAAAAATGTGAAAACAAAAATAAAAAACTTGTTTTGGATGTTTTCAAAAATATCCTTTTGAATGTTTTCATATTTTAGCCTTGTTTTTAAAACGGAGATGTTAAAAAAAAAAAAAAGCATTCACCAAACGAATTTTTTGTTTTTTTCTAAGCCATAAAATGAAAACAAAAAAGAAAAAAAACAAAAACTGGCTGTTACCAAACGTCACCTAAATTTTTGGTTTTAAAATATGTATGCCTTGTCTTAGAAACCTTTTCGTACATGCTAATGCTAGTGTTTGACCAAAACAGATTTTCAAGTGTAAAAACTGAGTTTTTAGTCAATTTTGAGTCTAAATTAAAGTGGGACCTGATTGATATTTTGAATAAAATTTTGTGGGTTCATATTCTACTTTGTGAGGAGAATAATGTAGTATATTCACTTGCTCAAATCGAGTAAGAAATGAATGAGAAAATAGGCTCCAAAGTGACCCTCTTGAAATGTGAAATAAAGGAAGTACAATGTGGAATGTGACACCAATCCCACATTAGTTGAGGAAGAAATTCAATATGGGCATATATAGGCCAAGTTTACTCCATGGGATTGGGTCCCAAGGGGTACCACAGTTTTATGAGCAGAGCGAGGTCCTACATGTTTTCGGTTCAACCACACGTGCGCGCCGCCCGCCCGCCTTGCCTCGCCTCGCCACAACTGGGCTGGGCTCGGGTGTGGGTGTGGTTTAGACCAAACCCTATCATTTTGGAGAAAATTTATTGGGCAAGAATTTCTTAACCCGAAATTTAATTTCGGTACCCGTTGGATCACATTGGGTCAGGTTAATTGCCTCCCTCTAGACCGAATTAAATTATGACTGTTCATGGAAAACAGTTATCCAAGGTGTCTACTGGCTGTTGTATCTTCTTATTCTGGGTTGTGTCTTTTAGTTTGGTGACTGTCCGGAAAGTCACTAAGGTGTTTATAAATATCCAGTTCATGCATCCATTCAGATAATTAATTTTCATCAGTCCGTTTTACAACAATAAGGCAGACATTAAAACATATCATTTTTGGCATTAAAACAGTGCATTTAGAGAGTACACAACACGATTTTGGTTTGCTGGACGAGTAGATTGGAGTGCTACTTCTATTCGTGTAAAGATCATTGTATCCTGGGAGGCAAACGCTCGGTTTCCATTAGCATCGTGTGTGGGGGCGAAATATGTCTTTAGGACATAGTGTCAAACACTAACCTTGATCTACCTAAAGTTCAATAACAGTTCCTATTCTACAACCAGGTTAGTCTTTATTTTGTTTGACAAACAGTTACGTATAAGTGTTTGTTGTTATTGTTTTGTAGTCCTGTTGTAACTCTGTCGTTTCTGTGTAACTCTTTACTGTAACTATTGTGTTGTACTTTACATGTTTCAAATCAGAAATTTTAATAAGTGATTTTAGAATATTTGGCACACCACAAACAACAACTAGTTGGCTCAAGATCAAACTCAATAGTGAAACATATTTCTTTACTTTTGTTTTCAAATCTAGGAACTTGATAGCGAACTTAGGTGTTGCAAGGATGAATTCAAGGAGTATGAAAGACAGGATGTTAAATACCATGAATATTTAAAGCACATGAAGCAAAAGATCAAGAAACTCAATGAGAAAGTTGACAAGGTATGGGAACAATTGGTCTCCACTTGTATTGAAACTAATGCATGTATCTTACCTTGGGTTTCACTGTAGGATTCAATAAAGATTACTAAGATTCGAAAAGAGTGTGAGGAGTCAACAAATCTCATACCCCAACTAGAGGAAGACATTCCCAAATTGCAAAAACTCTTTCTTGATGAGGAGAAAGTCTTAGAGAAAATTAAGGAGAACTCCAAAGGTATTTTCTTCAGTGTAAACAATTAAGATACAAGTATCAAAGCTGCTATGAATTTCATTTCATATGTTATTGGATTAGGGGTGTGATAAATATGTTTGCTCTCTGAGGAGAATTAATGTTGTCCCTTTGTTTTATTCGGTTGAGAAACAGTTGACACTAAGATGTTTCGTGATGAGCTAGCAAAGGTCCGTGCTGAACTAGAACCTTAGGAAAAACAATTGATTTAGCACAATGGAAAACTTGAAGTTACGTCTACTGAAATAAAATTTTTGAATGAGAAGGTGAGTTGGCATTTGATTGAGTCTCGTCAAGAGTAATTTGTTAATGATCAACAAATGGTTGATTGATCCAGATAACATATGGGCTCTGCTATTTTCTATTTCTTGGAAACTTTCACTATTTGATTTTTATGTGGAGCTAGATGTCATAGCTATGCATTGTTCTATTGTAGACTTTTTCAGCATGAATCAAACATATGATGATGCTGCTTATGATGATGCTCAAAAGAAGATGTCTTACATACAGTCTGTATGCATAGATATATTAATTGATCTCAAGATAAAGTCTAACTTTGTTGTGATATCAAAGTATATTAGAGCATGCAACATATTCTCTCAAACATGCATATATCTTTGCATCTATTTATACATGTGTGTTTGTTGGAAACGTTTTATTTAATACATTTGAAACACGTTCTTAATATGGCATCTTGAATCAGCAAATGCCTCTTAGTTGTGTTTTTGTTATTTCACGCGTGGGATGTATTGCTGCTATTTTATCCCTTGAGGTAGAAGATCAGAATGCTTCATTGGATGCCCTCTAGCGTGTTGGATCAGAATTGGCAATGCATGTTGTGGCAGCAAAGCCTTTATTTCTGTCAGAGGACCTTGTTTCTTCAAATGCAATAGAGAATGAACGTGAGATTCTCAAGTCTCAGGTACTTTGTGAAGTCATATTTACTTTCATGTGGCTTGTATTTAAAGTTAATTGAATTGTTAAGTAAGTGGTTCCGTTAAAAAGGACTTGGCTCCCATTTAACCCAAATATACTTTGAGTGGCTTATCAGGTGGGGGAATGGCTCTAAGAGATCATGCAGGCCATGTCATTCTGGCCATTGCTACATTTTATGATCTTGGCACTAACACGCACAAAATATGTAGAGCTCTATTGGATGGTTTGAAACTGGTGGTGCAATATGGCTTAGAAATGAAGTAGATTCTCATTGAATCTGATTCAAAAGTGTTGGTTGAGATGGTGTTGGGGAATGTTGGGGTTCCATGGAGATATGAGGGGCTTTTGGATCAAATTTTGGTTATCATAGGCAGTTTGAATGTAAGGATAAAACACATTTATAGAGAAGCTAATATGATTGCTGATTTTCTTGCCTCTTATACTGTAAAGTCTGGATGCAACTCTGATCTTTCTACTTCTAGGGTGTTACCAGATGCTGGAAGGTTGCTATTACAACATGATCAATCCTTATTGCCAACATTAAGGAAGAAATTTGTCTTGAAAGGAGGAACCAAGACTGGCTTGGTATTTGATGATGGTTTTCCAAAAAAAAAAAAAAAAGAAATATATGTTGAATTCAAAAGATGTGAAATGTATTAATTCTGTTAGTTTTTTTATTGAACACATGTATTATTGGTGTACAAGTGAAAATTTTTATTGGAATATCATTTTTTATGAATTATTTTTAAAAAAAAATGTGCTACGAAAATAAAATTGTCGCGAAAAATTGTAGGAACAATATTTTTCACGACAATTTTTATACATCACAAATGTATTTATTCAATTATTTTTTACATTTTTTATTTATGTAAAACATTATTTGCGACGTTTTTTTTACGTCACTAAAAATTAATTAAATTATTATTTTTTACATTTTTATTTATGTAAAAAATTATTAGAGACAATTTTTTTACGTGGCGAAAAATCAATTAAATTAATATTTTTATATTTTTTATTTATGAAAAAATTATTTGCGATGATTTTTTTACATCGCGAAAAATCAATTAAATTAATATTTTTTACATTTTTTATTTATGAAAAAAATTATTTGCGACGATTTGTTTATATCGCAAAAAATTAATTAAATTATTATTTTTTATATTTTTATTTATGTAAAAAATTATTTGCTACGATTGTTTTACGTTGCGAAAAATTAATTAAATTATTATTTTTTATTTTTTTACGCTGGTGGAATAGATTTTAGCTATGTTTACTGAAATTTTAGCGACCATTTTTCGTCGCAAAAATTTTTTTTTGCGATGAAAATAAATTTGTGTCGCAAAATACTTTCTGCGAAGAGGCTATTGCGACGAACACGCGACGAAAAAAAATCACGAAAAATAATTGGCGACGATTTGTTTTAATTTCGCGACAAAAAAAATCATCGCAAAAAACGATTTCTGTTGTACTGGGAAGATTTAAAGATACATAATTATATTATAAGTCTCAATGAAAGAACTTGAGAAGAATCCCCTACCTCAATCCGCTGGATAGCCCTAACATGTTTGAATTAATCTCAATGCAAGAATCCCTTTTTAAATCTTATGATTTCCCCTTCTCTCTAACTCTATAGGGTTGCCTAGGGTTGAAAACTGATGAAACATGGTTAAAGGGACATACTTATGGTATTTATAGGGTACAAATAGAGAAAAACCCTACAAGTGAGCGGGGCTATTTTAAACATAGTGTCCCAACATTGCAAATTCGCTGTTTTGGATAAAAAAAAAAAAAAGATTTTAAGGTAGGGAAGGGCGTCTAGACGGTGCTAACTTTCTGCCCCAACTTCAGGAGCAATTTTCACCTATTTAAAAGTCGATTTAGGAAATTTTTGTGAAATACACTTTTATAGCCCTTGAAGTCTAATTTCTACTATCCAAAAATTATCCGAATTCTTTCTAATATGTGTTTAAACTCCAAAATATTTCTAACTTCTAATACACCCCATATTACCTCTTCCAAGGTTTCTCGACCTTTCGGATTCAATGGAAATTTTATTTTGACCTAAAAATATTTAGAAACTTACCTAACCACCTTTCCCAAGCTTAGACACCTCTGAAACTTAGTTTAACCCGAAAGTGAATTCGTCCAAAACTCAAACTCCATGATCAATCTTTTAACAATGATTCGAGATTTCTACAATCTTTTTATTTATCCTAGGAGAAATATTAATTATTCTTATTTAATGCTAATACAGGATCTTACAATTCACCCCCTTAAAAGAAAGTTTCGTCCTCGAAACTTAATGGTCGTGTTAGTCTATCTAATTCTCATTTGGCCATGATATCTCCACTTCTATTCATCCTTTAAGTATCAAATTCAAGATTAAAATAAAACATCATATCTTAAATTTTAAATCCATCCCTTCAACTTATACCATCTCTACAATTGGCGAAGTCTCCAAGTTTACCTTCATTCACTACTTTTGATTATTTTTTATACTCCATGATTCCATGTGATTGTCTACACTAATTTCATATTATGCATAACTACTACATCTTTAACTTATTTTTTTTTCATCAGATATCACTTCTCTGTTGAATTTTTCAATCATTTAAAAAAAATCTCATGTTTGATTCTTACATGTAGCTAATCCATAAGCATTTCACAACAACCAAATTCAATTTCGCTAATAGGATTACTCATTGTTCCTATACTCAAATTATGGTATAATCCATAACTTAGTAATGCCTTTACGACACGATCTACATTGATTCCTTAAATAGCTGCATCATTCTTAATGACTTTGTCTCTCACTAGACTAGAGAAACTCACAATATTTAAAATCTAATAGTAACTGCACATCCTTTGAACACTTAATAATTTATGTGATTTGGTGGACACTGTAAGATTCCCAACAATTATAACCATCAAACTATACACCAAGTTTTCCAAGAAATTGAATCTCATTTTTCAAGCTTATACTCTCTACATTCACCACTATAATCGTAACTAATGGTTAATTCCACTAATATTAAACCTAATCAAATGGTTTGCTGCGCATTCTGATATAAATTATAATTCAATAATCATTAAGTAAAAACTAGCCTCAAGAAAATAATTCATATACTTTCATAGAATTTTGTGAAGATATCCTGTTTCACCACATATGTTCTTTGCTTATAACTTCCAAATGTGTTCACTAACTATCCTTCTTTCTCCTACAAAGCAAATTTTAGTAAATAAACAAATATACTACTTAGACTATGGATCAAGTTATAGCTCTAACATATTATTTTCAGTCCTCAATCTTGCGCTCAACTCAAGTTATAGCTCTAACATACCTCACATGTATCCTATTGTTAAATCAATCTTAATATATTCACATTGTTCACCAACTCGATTAACACTAATCATTTTCTCTATCTCCCAAATATTCCTTCTCAATCTCTAACCTCAAACTAGAATCAATACTCATGTAATCAATCCCTAGTAGCTTTCACACCCTCTTCCTTCTATTCGTTACATATAATCTTGAATTCCCATGATTCAATTCAGAAGAAATATATTTCTAATTCATAAGATAAAGATTGACTTCAAAAGATCATAATAATCTTCCTCAATTCAATACTATCAGATTTCTTGTACTAGAATCACAACCAAAACAAGACTCTTTATGATTAAACCAATGCTCATCGATTTGACCGCATTAGTCATCATAGTCTTATCCATTATTCATAATCCTCAGGATAATAACGATCTGCTAATTAATAGGATAACTATAGTCATTTATCCCAAATATTACATAAAGTTTCACATCCATGTCGAAGCCAATCTGAGTAAGTATCATTATTGATTCCTCAAATTACATCTTCCCAATTATCACCACTAACCATAAAGTTCAAATCTTCAATACTCATTCCAAAAATCCTCAAGTATAACTAATCAAACCTATCTTAATAATGTACTAAAGAGACTTGAGAAAGAACTCCATATTCCCCCAACCCAACTTCAACAACATTAAAAGATCTCACAGAACAATAAAAGTTCACATCAATGGATATCTTCCTTATTTCAATAATTGTCTGTTATATCTGACCTCGAGCTTTTAAACCTCTATATTCTTTAATCCTACAATATTGAGGGTCAGAGGTAACTACAACAACTAAATTAGGCTTCCTAGATTTAGCATGTTTGAATCAATCTCAATGTAAGAATCTCTGTTTAAATCTTGTGATTTTCCCTTCTCTTTGGCTCTCTA